ATCTCTTTATCTCCATGTGCGATTTGCAACTGTAATGAATAATTTATCATATTACGAACCATAACTGTGTAATTCGGACAACCTTATATGTTCGAATGTTACCGTAAAATTTTAAAAAATGTATATATTTAGAACAGCATTATAAGTCAACTTCAAGAATCCCTTTTCTCTAAAACATTTAATGATGTTCGATATCAACTATATACAAGTACATTTAAAAAATATGCGTACTCATAGTGATTAAAAATATGAAATAAAACAAATACGATAATGCTAAAATGCACTCTCAAGTTGATATCCTTCCAAAGATAACCCATGAAAGCTGTTTCGCTTATTTCCAATGGGGTCCTTATAAAGTGTATATCACTTAGATAAAAAAAATAATATCAGGAGTCATGGCATTAATTAAATTTAAGTCACAAATAATGATGCAAATTTACTTATTTTTTAGGTGTTGCATTACTGCAGATTTGAATGCGTCCTGGTCATTTATAATTGATTTCATTATTTTGCAGCGTATTCCAATCTTTAATAGTGTTAAAGAAAAAAGATGTGGTGTCCACTCTGTTAACTTTAGGAACAACAAAATTTAAAAGGCGTGGTCTAGTGTTATATCCGTGGTGTTCTTTGACTTTATAAAAAGTAAAATAAAAAAAAAAACCGAACTCCAAGGAAAATTCAAAACGGAAAGTCCTTAATCAAATGGCAAAATCAAAAGCTCAAATACATCGAACGAATGGAAAACAACTGTCATATTCCTGATTTGGTACAGCCATTTCCTTACGTAGAAAATAGTGGATTAAACCATGTTTTATAGCTAGCTTAACCTTTCACTTGTATGACAGTCGCATACAATTCCATTATATTGACAACAATAAGTGAACAAAACAAACAGACGTAAAAATGTAAAAAAAAAATGGGGTACAGCAGTCAACATTGTGTTATAATCTTAATCACTATATAAAACAAAAAATATTTCAACAAAGAAAAACAAAATGTAAAAGAAACTGTTGTTACAGAACTTGTATGTGTGTCCTAATCTTAATTGCTTCATACTATTTTCAATATTTTAAAAAACAACCGGTTGACGGGCACTTGACCTTTGACCGAGATTTTTTTTATGAATCAAACAGTTTTGTTCTGGGCAATTCAAGTTTGTTATACTCCGGCATATCAAAGGGAACAGTGATACTCAAGAAGACATTGGATTAGAGCCGTAGAAAGACTTTTGCGGGTTTTAGTTGTCAAACAGCGTGCTTTACAATACATAAATTTTAATCTAAAATTGCCCTTTTTGATATTTGAGTTAACTGTATTTTCACCTGACAAGTTTTGGTCTATGTCTAATCCTAAATATTTTAATTTTGGTTGTGATTTAATATTATGATCATTGTATTTGAAAATGAGTTACTTTCTTCAGTTTACGTTTCGGATCAAAGATAATGCGTTCTGGTTTGCCCAAGTGTAAAGCTATGTTATTGTCAACGAGCCAGTTGCTACAAGACTCTAATTCCATTCCTAACTTCCTCGAGATAATTTCTGGTTCCTTATGAGAACATATTATAGTGCTGTCGTTGGCATAAATCAGGAGTTTGCGGTCGGAATTAATACTCATAGAAATGTCGTTGACGTAATATAGAAAAAGAAAAGGGCCTAAAATGCTTCGATCCCTGGGATACACCACAGGTAATATTAAGAAGTTCAGATTCCGTCCCATTTACATTTACCAGTTGTAACCGTCCAGTGAGATAGGACTAAAACGATAAGACATCTTTTTCCGCCCATATGTTTTAATATTTCGATTTTCACTTCCTCTAGTACTATCCCAGTCGAAATTGATAGATTTACCAGGTAGTTATTGGTTTTGCCAGAGCGCTTGCTTCGTCTTTGGTTAATCTTGCAGGAATGCTATCTATTCTAGTGCTTTTGAAAGAGTTTAAATTGCAAAGTTCTTTCTATATAATATCTTGACTGACATAGTTATGTTAATTCTAATTGGTTATTATTGTTGATAAATTTACTGTAGAATTGTTTGACCAGTATGGTTTTAACATCAAATATTTTTGGAGCTGTTGGTAATTTGGCGACAAGAGAAGAAGCGACAGTGGCGAAGAAGGCTTTAAAATGATTTGCAATATCTTTTAAGTGATGGAATGTTTGTCAGACTAAATTTAAAACGATACTTGTCCCATACCGCTGTTGTTGAACTTTATCCTAGGGATTTCAATTGTTGCTCGAGTCTGTACAAATTCTGAATGATTTTTTTTTATCAGAACATTCGGAGGCTGGATGTACAGCTTCACAATGATTGAACGGAAACGAAAGAACACAGCATGAATTATATATATGTAGGACTCTAAAGTGCAATGGTACTCTAAAGTGCGATGGTCACGCTAAAGTGCGATTGTCTACGCTAAAGTGCGATGGTGTCAGACGCTAAAGTGCGATGGTTGTTTGTTTTTTTAAGTGCGATCAAATGACACACTAAAGTGCGATGGTACGACACTCTAAAGTGCGATGGTATATGACACGCTAAAGTGCGTTGGTTTAACACGCTAAAGTGCGATGGTGTAAAGGGAATGGGGTTCAGGCAATGGTTTTTGTTTTTTGCTGTGTTCATATTAGTTTTCGTCTATTGTATTGTTTCTATATCTTGTCGTTGTCTTTCTCTTTTGAATTGTTTTACAAAAGTCATTTCGTGATCCTATATAGCTTTTTTTTGCGACGTAAGCCAAGGCTCCACGTTGAAGGTCATAACATTATTAGGTGCATGTACATCAACGATATCTGGTCTTTGGTGGATACTTGTTCGTTGACAATTACACCACATCTTCTTCTTTGTTTTTTTGTTTATTGTTTATTTTGTATATAAATCAGTCCGTTATCTTTCTCGTTTGATTTGTTATACACTGGTCGTTTTGATACCCTTTGGTCGTTATAGAATACTATCTGCGGGGTTAGTCATACGGTAACCTATAGTTAATTACATTAATGACATTTAACATTGGATAGCGACTTGTCTCATTGGCAATCATATTATGATACTACACCTCTGGTCGATAGGTTACTGTCTTGTTGATGAGTATCCATCTCTTTTACAGACATGACGAACCATATTGCATTCTGTTACTGTGGATGATTTTTTGGGAAGTAACTCCTCCGCATACACACTCTTCTAGCACCGACCAAAAATGTTCCGGATTGGGATCATATGTTTCTTGTTTGGTAGAAAATCTGTATCTGCACAAACATTCTCGTTTACCGGCATGTCCATTTTGTTTGTACAAACGGAGTTCATAATGTTGCTAAGTGCATATGGTCTTTGGTGGATAGTTGTTTCGTTGACAATTACACCACAACTTCTTATTTGTTTTTTGTTTATTGTTTTCTATCTCTTTCACAGACATTACGAACCATATTGTAAAAAATTGTTTTATAAAATAATTCAATTAGAAAATTAAAAAGTAGCTTTTATTTCACGCAAGTAAATGACATGGGATTAAAACATAGAAGGAGTTTCTAAATTAAATTTGGACGAATTAAATACTTTGACTACTGGTGTATTTTGCCGTTTTCGCTCCCTTTTACGGTATACACCTTCCCCTTACTATCGTCAGTTTCTAAGTTTTATGAGAAGTATTCTTTTCCAGCATCCTGTCAGAAACACGTTTGTCCCCGCCGACACAGCGGGATCAAAGGTTTGCATTTCTGTTACTGTCGATGATTTTTTGGGAAATAACTCCTCCGCATACAAACTTTTCTAGCACCAACCAAAATTGGAATCATTTGTTTCTCTTTTCGTGTCTAGTAAAAAAAACTTCATCTGCACAAACATTCTCGTTTATCCATGTCAATTTTTGTTTGTACAAATGGCGTGTAGCGTCATAATGCTATTTATGGTTGCAAACGTCCATACTTTCGCAAACAAACGCATTTTCGCGGAAAAACGCACTTTAGCGTATCGCAGCATCGGACTTTAGCGTGTTCCTTTAAATATGACATACCATCGCACTTTAGCGTATCAAACCATCGCACTTTAGCATGGGCTGTCGCACTTTAGCGTGACCATCGCGTTTTAGCGTCCCCATTAGAGTCCTACATATATATGGAAAATTGGATGTTCTAGAACGCAAAGCTTCTCATAAGTCATGTAAGTAGCAAGAGAGAATTTTGCATATTTAATGTGGAATTACATAAACGGTACCAATGTTCCTGCACCAGGATTAATTCCGAACTTGTATTTACATATATTACATAGTATGTTTTTTACTGGTTTTAAATATTCCGTTGCGGGGTGTGTGTGTGTGTGTGTGTGGGGGGGGGGGGGGGGTATAACGTATACAACTGTGATTAAATTGACAAAAATATGTTTGAAGGTAATCCGTTCATGGAAGCAGCAGGCATATTTTTGGCTGTTACAATATATGTTTATTTTATTTTTAATTGTTTTGTTTCCATAATAGTTTGTAATCTTTTACAGTAAACAGCAGCGAGGCATTTATAACAAATAACAGCTTTACATGGATGCAGGCAAAATCAAACTGTAAGCTAATTGGACAAGATAGTAATGTAAAAGCAGCAGTTGACATGATAAAGACAGTATGGATAGACGCGACTGCAACTTATTCCCCATGGATAGAATATTTAGGTTCGGTCATTTTAAGTTTTTCAATGTCCAGGATTTCAAAAATGCCCTACTTCAAAATTGAAGCATGTTTCTGACTTTTTTCATTTTGAAAATGAAGGAACTGCAAGGACATGTAATATGCAAAAACTGTGACAAATAAGCACTTGAATTGAAAAAAAACTTGAACTATAATAAGGAAACAACGTTAGGACTCTTCATACCATATGAATTTATTTCAGGGGAATTTAAAGCATCAATTACAACCGTTAATCTTCAGTTAAATTTGGTTTCAAATTAAAAAGTTGTCGAATATAATTTATAACCGAAAGCGCATTTGAGTAGCTTAATTCTGTGTTTCTTTCATCAGGTTGCTTTAATGTGAAAAGACAAAAAAGAGCTTTTGCTTACGTAACAGCAGGGAAACAAGTCCATGAGTGTTTGCAAATTTGCAGGGATTATCAGTATATAGGAGTACAGGTACACCAGACTAAATACCAGAATTTAGATAGATTTAATTAAGTACTAAACAACTTTGGGATTTGTTTATTGCATACTATTGGTGAACATTGGGTAGATACCACTGCTGGAAACGATTGATTCCCAAGTGTATCATCAGCTCAGTAATCAGTGCTTCTATACTGGCAACATTTATAGCATACCTTTCCTAAATTTTCCATTTATAAATTACAAAGTTATTTAGAAACGAAGGTTCGAACTACCTCAGTCAAAGTTGACCTTAGATGGATTTAGCTATTATTCTTTTATTAGTTTATTATTTAATTGTAGGTATGTATATGGTGTTTATACAGGTAACAGTCTTGTCTATCCTTCATCAAGAAAATGTTGATTTAATTTCAAAATTTCAAATTCGGTTATGTTTGAGGGTAAGAAAATGTTCATGACCGATGTTTTATGAATTTGGTGATGTCTTAGGGTTAGGCAAAGAATCAACTACCAATCCGATATTGCGTGATGTGTTATCACTTAATATAACGTATCAACATATTTTATAGGAGTAAAATGACGGTGTCACATGTGAAGAAGGATCTGCTTACCCTTCCGGATCACATGAGATCAGTTGTTGATAGGGTTCGTGTTGCTCAATCTTTATGTTTCTATGTTGTATTTTGTTTGTTTTTTGTCTTTTCCCCTTTTTTACCATAACGTTGTCAGTTTGTTTTCGACTTTTGAGCTTGAATGTCCCTTTAAAACCTTTCGCCCTTCTTTTCCTATCATTAATTACACATAAACTACAAGACAGCCAACAAACTATTACAATATATAATAATAAAATAAAATATATTCTAGTAGCGACCATTATGTGCATGAGTGTTACATGGTAGGCATAAAAATGAGGAGCAAGTTAAGACCTGATCTATACACTCGAACCGATTGGTTTGTTTTAAATATATATGTGCAGTTTTAGACAAATAAAATTGAGTTGTTTTGTTCAACATACTCATCATTACCTATTAATAAAACTGTCAGGTGAACATTATTATCGATGATATATCGTAAATAACGTTTTTCTTGGGTTTTGGTACAAAGGTCACCCGCTAAAATAGTAGAATGTGTCTTCGTTATGTAGTTCACATCTACATTTTTTGTTAGATATGCAATTAATTTACTTTACTTGAACATGTACCCAACCCGTGTGTGCAAAATTTTCGATGATCTTCTCTGCAGTACACTTAAGCTTGGGCTTTACAGCAGAAACTCTAAATTTTTCTTCGAAATCTGTTTTGCGATCCCGAATAGAGTTATCTAGTATATCATTCTATATTTGGACAATGTGATGGTATGAACGAATAAGATGATATTGGTTAAGGTATCCAATCCTGTTTAAAAAAAGACATTGGGAAGTTAACTTTTGTTCAGTGTTGAAGGTCTTGCTATGAATTTCAAATGAGGAATAGCAATGATAGCAATCTTCCTTTGTTTTGGGTTTTGTCAACGTGTAGGGTTTGTTTCTCAAGAATTAACAGGCAACATGACTTATAATCTATTTCAATAAATATCATTAAGAATATATCTTTTAATTCTTTTATATAAAGGCTCAGGTTTTACTATGACTGGAACCGCACAAATCAAAAGTGCCAAAGGAAAAACTATTAGAGGGACTTCAAGTAAACTTCTTTTAATCAAATAACTACGTGACGAACGGAATTGCATCATTTTACGCGGTTTTGTTAATAAACTTTCTCAAATGTTTAGGGTTGAAAAAACAAACTTACAATAGCATTAAAATGTCTTTAGCGTCTTATTTACTATTGACATTTCAATTCTCGTACAACCTCTATTTGCATTGTACTCAAACTTAAATTATCACCAATCGTGACATACTTTTAGACATTAAACTTGATACGTTATTGGAATCGAATGCCGGTGGTGCGTGCATGCATAACAGAAGATTCAAATCGAGTCGACCATTATTTTTCTGTTTGTCATAAGGCTTACAATTTGTTTAGCTGACTTCTTTGTAATATATTGATAAATTTTGATAAATGATCACGTACACAATCAAGGACCTGGCAAAATACAAGTTGCTTATATAAAAAAAAGAATTATGAAATTGAATTTAATGCGGTTTGTTGATGTGTTCGTGCAAGTCTGTGTTACTTGGAACAATGATTACGAATTTTATTGATAATTGTTGCCTATCACTTAAGTTTTAGACATTCCGGGATTCAAAAAAAAAATGAAAAATTATGGTACGCGTTCTTAAATAATTTGAAAATAATAGTTGGTCATATAGCAGAATAAACAGAGATATAAAAAAATTATCTATCCATTTTTATCTTTTTATAGCAAACCAGATGTGTTTGCCCGGTATCAGATTCTTTAGTAGAGATAAATGATCAAAGATGTGAACCAAAGGCATGTGTTCAAGACAATGACGGTTTGTGTGTCGATGATAACGAAGGATTAATGTTTGCTGTGTATAAAAAAGGTTAATCGTTTATCTTTATCCATTTCTCACAGCAACCAATAAACAAATACAAAAATAAGAAGAAAACATATTGACAAATGTCTTTCGTTAGATAAAGCCAATTGCAAAATATATTGAATCTAAATAATAATATACTTCCTTTAAAACTAAGTTAAAAAATGTTCATTTTATTAAAGATATGAGATCATATTCAAAACTACTGAATCTAGTAGTATGGCCATAGTTTAAACTTTTATATGGTATCATTGTATTTCTTAGCATTATAGTAACAATTGTTCTTCACATTATAGTAATACACTCACAAGATCTGAACTCAACTCTCCAAAAGAGTTAACATGTGTAAACCAAATCTTGTCTTTAAAAATTCACTGTTAAGGTAGATAGGGTGTCTTCCTCCATCTTGGATTTTGTAATAACTGAAAACAATCGGTCTAGATCTTTAAAATAATGTGCAAATTTTGAGAGTAGTAGGTAATTCATGTGTAAGAATTTTCATTTCAATATAGAAAATGACATGTTTTATCATATTTATGGTTGTATTTTACAAAAAACAGAAAATTTTTGTTTGATTAAATTTTTTCCAACTTTGCCACATAAGGGGAGGCAACTCAAATGTAAGGGCAGATAAGTCAGATAAAGGTACTTTTATAATAGAATGTGTTAGGAATTTACCTATTTTATTATGTAGAAAGAAAACGGGTGCGGTGACCCCATTTTTTCTTTTTCTTATCTGAAAGCATACTATTAGAGCTATCTTCTCATATTTTATCTCAAAATTCTATGGAGTAGTTTTCGTTTTATGGCAGAAAATTGGGTTTTCCATGCATAATCTATACAAAATCTGTCAATTTTGCACAACCTGTAGCGTGAAAATAAGCCCCGTGACCCATTCTTTTTATTATTTTTTTTTTAAAGCATGATATAAACTACATTTCGGCAAATTATTAAAAAAATCTATGGATTATAATTAAGACACCCCATCTACCTTAATACCCTTGTAAAATGAAAATTTGATCTGACAAATCAGTAGTCCTATATATTCAGAAAAAATTAATTTCACTGTATATATTATTTGTTTGGACGAGCTTATAACTTCATATTTAAGGATGTTCGCTACTCTGTTTCAAAATAACAAGCTTTTTAAAAGACTGTTATAAATTGATAGTATATAAATAAAGGAACTAAAAAAGCAGAAAAAAATGAAGGGTCCGTGTGCTTGTTTTCGAGATATTAGCCATTGAAAATTTGGCGGGAAATAACTCTCTCTAGACTTTTCATACATTTAACATTGGCACCCTTTTTCTTTAAAAAAATTATGAAAAAATAACAAGGATTTTATAGCATTTTCAAATATGGCTATTTAAACTATATGTAATAAAATTATGAAAAGAAAAATAGGTGTTAGCGGGCAAAATTTTTATTGGAACTAACATGGATAAATCTAGAGGATTCCGAATATCTGACAAAAAGTCAAAAACAAGAGTAGCGAACATCCTTAATGTATTCCGTACAACAGTTGGGCCAGTTCTAACCTCTCTTTAGAACTGTCAAAATAATCTGTCATAGAACTGTTTTACCCGAGAGCTCTCAGAATCATTTTTAGGGTAGAACTATCCAGAAGTTTTCTGAAGTAGAACTGAAAAAAATGTGTTATATGTTAGAACTGACCAAAACTGCTCTATACTGGAACCGCTTTCTGTCTAAACTGTTTGATGAGAACTGATCCACAGATTGTTCTAAAGCAGATCTCCTAGCAGTATCCGCCATATCTATATTTTAAAAGAGGTTAAATCTGTACCAAAAATTATTTCGTAATATATTTCGGATCAAAGGAGAACACATTGAATGTCAAAACATATCCAGTGAATTATCTGATTCGTACATATGGCTGCGTCGTACATATGTTATACTTTATATATCGCATTTGAAAAGACAGTTATATAAAAGTTTTAATGTTTTAGTATCAATTGAATCAAAAGTTGGAATAGGGAACTGCTTGACAGTTGTAGAGAACAGTGCTGGGGATGACTATTATTGGGCAAGTCGTTGTGACTTGAAATTATACCAAGTGTGTGAACATGGTAAGAGCAATGCAACAAGTGAAATTAGCAAGAAAATAATCAATCAGTGCAGGTTGTGTCTTATATATTTTTTTGTTTTTTTTAATTTTTTATGTGAAAGTAATAAACTGTAATTTATAAACAAAACACTGCAACTATTCGTATGCAAAACAGTGGGGGTACTAAAAAAGTTGGTTTACCTAACAGGTTTCTTTGACAAAAACATAAAATCTTTCAGAATATTTGGTCCTCAATGCTCTTCAACTTCGTACTTAGTCTAGCCTTTTGAGTCTTTTGTAGACGAAACACGCTTCTGGCGTTCAAAGTTATAAGCCTGTTTTCTTTAATGAGTTTATTTACTTTATACATTTTTCATATGCATTAACTGTATGTCTTTTATTTTGGTTATTTTTTTTTTATTGTTATTATTATCATCCTTCTTTATAGAAAGGAACAAAACTGGCATACAGAAGGAGGATAGTTTTGAAGATATATGGACACTGTCTCATGCGCACTGTTCAAGTGGCAAACTAGGAGTGTATTCTGTTACCAGTCTTCAGAATCTGCAGCTATTACGCAACACGTATTATTGGCTAGGTGATATAAGACGCCCTATATATAACTTTTACAGCGGTATGTTACTATTAATTTATTTTTATTTTTGCATATCATTCATGCAAATTAGTCTTAATTTTAGATATTGGTCATGTTTTCCACGTTCAAATTATCATATGAAAATCAATATAAATATAGCAAAATAACACACCAGTTTTTTTTCTTAGTTTGTTTGTTTGTTCCTTATTCTAATTTTCTAAGACATATTTGTTATTTTACATCCTAAAAGAAATAAACTTTGTGTGTAACAGTAAATCATTTTTTTATCATATTTGTTTTGAAAGGTAATTGAAATGTTATCTTTTTTTTTTCATTTTAACGAATATTCGCGACTCACCGCATGTTTTACCCAATATTAGATTTACATCCTCTTCAATAGTAAACCCATACTCCAAATAATCAAATACATTCAATCTTTTGTATTTGTAAGAACTATATATAACGAAATATCAGCAATATATTCTGTAAAATATGAAAAACATGATATATATATTTAACCATTATGAGGAGCACAATTAGATCAAACCTGAAATTAGTGGATACTACAGATACTTTAAAGTCTTGAATTACATCTCAAAACTGACAATAAGGATAGGTTGTAACGAAATATTATGACAAAAGATATGATTTATGTTTCACAATTGTGAACTTTCAATTTCTTCGTAGCAACATTTTAGCAGCGCCTACAGAGGGAATATATATCTCCCAGTTGATATTATATTCCAGAGCTGACGTTTCCTATCATTATTTCTTACATAGCAGCTTACAAGGAAGCTATAAAGCCAATAGTTCAAAAAAAGGAAAGGTTTTAGTTATCATTTAGAAAATTTTACAGATACTTCACAGACGCCGATGGATACTGTTCCAATTGTCGTAACCACAATCCTTTCCTCTTACCTTCAAAAGTGACATCACCGGATGTGTACTTACATGAGCAACACGACGGGTGCCACACATAGAGCATGATATGTTCATCCTTCCAGAGCAGTTGCAGTCATGTTTGTTAAGTGGGGTTCGTATTGCTAAGTCTTGCCTTCGAAATCATCTGCCTCTTTGTATGAATAATAAAGGCAACATTAGTATACCGCTGTTCAATAGTCATAAATCGATTTAACTGAGACAAATCCGGATCACAAACCAAAACTGAGGGAAACATGTACGTCAACTTTAAGAGGAAAACAACGGAACAACAGAAACACTGAGCTGCTACAATTTGTAATTTCAAAATTCTTAATTCGAAAATTGTCAATTTGTAACTTGTAACAGTGTGATTTTAAAATTCTTTATTGGTAAATTGTCAATTTGTATATTGATGTTTTGTAACTTGTAACATGTCGATTCGTTAAATGTCGATCTGCTATGGAACCAAACAAATATTAAAAAAAAAGCTCGTCCTAAAAGAACAATTGCTGCCAAGGGATTTGACAATTATCCGTAAATAAATATTGTGGAAAACAGATCAAAAACTACACAAAGTGTTTTGAGATTCCAACGAGCAAAATACCACAATATTCTAACTCATTTTCGTAAAAACAGTAATCGAGTGGAACCACCTTGAAGACACTGTAGTGCGCACACCGAGCGTTGATAGCTACGGATACTGCTCTCGTGCATCGTCAACAAATCGACGGCGCTCTCTCTACCATTTTATTAACGCCAGTATTGGTATTCACAGCGTATTCCTACAGATACAGATGCAGATCTAGAATGATTACTGGATCGGCGAGACATGACATATACTAGGAGGTGTCCCCTCTGGATATTTTGTCAATGAATATGATCGTAAAACTATGAAACTTTTTTCTTTTTTATTACACACCTATACCCATTTTAACCAAAGTGACGTCCTACCCCTTTGACTTGTGTCAGAGAGAAGATTTCGCTACCTCACCATTTGCATGACAGAAGCAATTCTCTCCAATCTACTAACTCTTATTTTATTTCTCCATGAAAATCTTTGCACATGATTTGGGGTTTGGCGGGGGCGCGGGATGTCTGTCAGGGATAATTTTGGAGAGGAAAATGGTGGCAAACTGTGAGGAGGGGGTAGCCTGGGATCCTGGCTCATTGCTCGACAGAACAGTCAGGCGGAATACAACAACATGGTTTCGTCAATTGGATACTAGAATGATGCATCGTGGAATAGCGTCATTTCTTGACATATGGCGGGAAATGTTTATATTGTTACGAATTCATTGCAAATTATTTTTTATTTCATATGCAATGAACATTTCGAAAAATTTAGCTTATATAATACTAACGTTATTGATTAACATCGTGAATCACCTGTTAATTAACGATCCGATCGACGATGTATAAGATTGGGTCAGGTTGCCAGGCTAAGCAGAGGTGACACGGGGGGGGGGGGGGGGGGGGGGAGGGATACCGTGAGTACGGGGCGTGAAGCAGGAGTTGAGAGGGAGGGAATCGGGAATATTTTGAGAACACCCTATCGGTCTTTTTGTTTGCAATACATTTTGTAAATTTTTATTGAACGAAAAAATAGATGGGGCAATTCCTAAGCTTCTTGGCTAGAAAAGTTTAGAAGGCATGTATATTAATATATATATATATCTGTTAGCCCTTCCCCCTCAGTCAGATTAAAATGGTCCGATAATAGCATTTTAGGACTAATAGAAACCGTTTATTACCTGGGTTTTCCAGTAATGATGTAGCCTTTTATAGCCGATTATATGGTATAGGTTTTTTTCTCATTGTTGAAGGCCGTATACGTTGCCTATAATTGCTTACATCGACTTTATTTGAACTTTGGTGGATCGTTGTCTCATTGGCAATCATACGGTTTATTACCACATCTCCTTATACCTATTTACACGAATAATTCAGTTGTTATATTCCGCTGATCTACGACTACTTCATTAACCTCGAAAGTATAGGAGACTTCGATTACGTGGAGGGACTGAATTATTCGGGTTGTATTTTTATATAGTTTCCGTTCTCAAACGAAACGCCATCAGTCGTCTTCAGAAAACAAAATAAAACCGGATTCCTGTATACATGCCATATATAAAAACGAAAATTTTATTTTTCTAGTTGTTTTCTTTTACATGTATGTGCTGTACATAATTGATTAAAGTAATTGAGGGTATATACCCATAAGGATGTGATCCTACTTACAGGAGGCTTAAACACCGAAGAAGAAACCAAGCGCCATCTGTCGTCATAATGATCATTAGCGTAATACAACGATGACATTTAACGAAACGACATGTTTCAAGTTACAAAACATCAATATACAAATTGACAAATTACCAATAAAGAATTTTGAAATCACACAGTAACAAGTTACAACTTGACAATTTACGAATTAAGAATTTTGAAATTACAAAGATACAATTTACGAATTAAGAATTTTGAAATTACAAAGATACAAGTTACAAATTGACAATTTACGAATTAAGAATTTTAAAATTTCACAGTTACAAGTTACAAATTGACAATTTACGAATTAAGAATTTTAAAATTTCACAGTTACAAGTTACAAATTGACAATTTACGAATTAAGAATTTTGACCCCGTTGGCTTTCCATAAACAACTGCCATATTCCTTACTTGGTACAGGACATATTAAGAAGAAATGAAGGGTTGAACTTGGTTTTATGGATAGCCAAACCTCCCGCGTATATGGCAATGTTAAAAATACCGCTAAAATGACAACACTACGTAACAGGAATAAAATAAATATGCAAAGTAGAGAAAAAACAGTCCCGTCATGTGCACCTTTTGTTATACTGCAATTATTTACTATAGTAAGCCGATAAGAATTATAAATCACCGTATAATTTACAACTATACAAACACCTTGATTACTATTCTCAAAAAAGAATAGTATTCTATGTATTGGAGTATAGATATTAAAAATGTTTTTCAGACATTACATGGTCACGAGATCACTGTGTAGCTGCAACAATTGACACAAGAGGTAACCTAGAAAGATTTATAGAAGATTGTAACAAATCATTTCCAGCCTTATGCAATGAGCTGGATGTAACAGTTCCTACAGGTGGTTTAGATGTAGTACGTGGTATGTTAGATAACTAAATAGAACAATTATGATATGCCTAATTACATATACAATTAGATGTTACAAGACTTGAACAAAAGTAAAAATGTTCACCAGAAAATGTATTTTGTCACCGATAACACCCTATGCCTGTGCTAGAATAATAATATAAATATCAAAATAAAATATTATTATAAAATGTCATATGGCGGCTGTCCTAACATTGCTGTTTATAAGTGTTTATCTTAAGTAATGTTTTATTAAGTATCAATTTTTTATAAATGGATTGAAACAAATAAACATTTAAAATTGCATGCCCTCTCAGATAAATTACAAAGGTTACATGTAATCGTTGCTAAGACAATATAATTACACTGAATTGTTTATATTGTTAAAAAAAACAAATGAGGTAGAAAAACTCATTAAAGAAAACAGGCTTTAAGTTTGGTATGCAAGATGTAGGTACACATAGGTACTAATGCTGGTAATATTTAAAAAAAATTGTATTAGATCGATAAATGACATAATAATTCAAGATTTTACATTTGGTGTTTACTTTGTAGATCATATTACCTTAATAGTAGTTCTTATATCAGTAGTAGTTTTTGCTGGACTAGTACTTGTCCTTTTATGTATGAGGTAAGTACACAACCGAGCAGTAGATGCATTGTAATGTCTCACTATAGGATCTTAAAGTCAATTTGCCCCTACGACCGTTACAATAATAAATGCTTGAATCTCATCTAGAATTTTGAGCGTAGATTTGATTGTATTTGTTGTTAATACTACGACGTTACATATAGTTTGCACTTTGTAAATATAGCTGTTTCACAAAACACGCCTCTTTTTGGGAGAAATTTAATAATCAAAGACATTTTGTTTTGTTTACCTACTTGTTCCCGGATATGATCTTTATACTTCATCTCGTATAGACACAACTTGAGAATAAATACACATAGATAGCGGCCAAATTGCATTCTGAGGAAGACCCAAAATGAAGAAAGGGGTAGTACATAATTTTAGTATAAGAGGCATATACATATTGAAAATATGCCGCACAACCCTATGTTTTGACCTTTGATGATGATGATGATTGATGGCTGCTTAACGTCCAGTGGCAAATTATTATGCATATTCGGGACGAGAACATATTAATGTCATATGAATATTTACCCTGCTTTGTACTAGACCGACACGCTGAGCCGGATTTTTAACGTGCTAGCTCACAAGGTAACAGTCCGCAGGAAGACATGTCACTTAACCCGGACACATTATTCTGACTCCGAGCCGACCAGTCTTTGCTCTTACTCCTTTATGCCGCGTGCTTGGCGGAGAAGCAGCAAATACCAAGTCTTTGGTTTGACTCGGCCGGGGTTCGAACCCACGACATCCCGCACTCGAGGCGAATACGCTACCACGAGACAACCGAGGCGGTATTTGACTTTTGAAAAAAAATAGAAGTGCATATAAACTTTCCATTCTAGGATATATTTTTTTACGAAACTTCATAGTAAAAGAGGCACAGTTTTAGTCGTAAAAAGAGTTCCGATGGGAAATTGAATTGTCTATATTTACAGAAGTGCAACCTTTACTATGAGACTCATGTTAAATCATGTCTCATTTCATAGTGGTCTTTTAATATCTTCAAAATATCAGAATACTTGTCGGATCTGTAAATATGCTTCTTGTGTCCTATTCCCTATCGTGACATTTTGACTGAGTTTGGATTCCCTTGTCAAAAAATGAAACCAACACGTTATACATTTATTGCGTCCGAAGCGCTTTTCTGGATTTTCCTTCATTAGGAACGCTCTAAGCCGAATGATGCATACATAACAGGAGATGCTTTACCTATTGACATACTCGACCTTGCTTCATTAGGAGGACATGCTATTCCTTTTTTTTTGTAAATCAAATATAGTATTGGAGTTTTGTACATCGGTTAACTAGTATTGCCTCATATGGAACCGGGTCTGATAACCATTCCAGAGCATTTGAGATAATCCAATTTCTGCAGTAACATTGTGTCTTTCCTATGCAGTATTGTGTATCTTGTTGTGTATCTTGTTGTTTGTCTTTTTGTCGTTTTACGGTGTTTTTTTTTTTTAACAACAAACAGCTTGTTTCGAGGGTCATGAAAAATCTTACTTTGTGAAAAATAACACAGATTCCAAAAACGAATACCCCAAAGATGATATCCTCAAAATGCTGAACTTTTTTATCAATAACTATTTGTTGAATTTGATTGGGATTTTATTTCAGCTAACAGTAGATGTTCCAATATGTACTGATTGTGCACCACTATTGGCCGATTTCTAATCTATCATTAAGGGTCGTTTTATTGGCTGTTTCAGTTTATCAAAAATAATGTATGAAACATTCAAATATCATATTTATAAGCTTTTTATATATCGCTGCTTGTTCTTACTGTTATACGAACTCGGACATCTACATTTGATAGCTTTTAATCAATCATTTAAAACAAAATGCCCACTAGGTCTCTATATTTAATATTCTGTACCAACCTACCTGTAGGCACAAAACCACCAATTCATGGCTACATTGCTATATATATTAAATTCAGCAATTTTGTCTTCAGTTAAAATAGTGACAGTCAAAATTATACCTTAAGCTGGCTTGTGATGAAAATTTTAACGTACCGTTAATTGGATAAAGAACGGACTGGTTCCCAGTGGTCCGACAGCACAAAACAGGTACTTATGACGGGTGAAAAAGGAAAAATGCTCTTCTATTTTAAGTTCACTTAAATTTTGTAAAATTACAAATAAACATTCTACAAGGGTTCAACAGTTATTCCAGTTCCTAAAGCATTCATTTCATACACACATCTCTCACATATTTTACACATTTTGAAAGTAATAGCTACGTGAAAGAACTATTTCTCTTCCTTACCGGGCCTGAATAAGTGGTTGTATACTTGTATAAAGGGATACATTGTTCATGATAAGAGCGTCAATTCAATGGTCATCCAAAATATTAATCACTGAGCTACAAATTATAGACACTTGACAAAGATGATCATGTGAGTTTGAATAATATAATTGTAAAGAAATGTTAACAGAAAACTGGCGTATTTGTCAGAATCAATTCAAGTACCCCATCACCTGATATTTCCTTTGTCAATAAGTAAACATTACAAGATCTTAAGTGTAACCTTTAAATTTCTTGAAAACAAAATTTGAAATCAATTGTCAGAGTTCGTATATTATATATGTAAAGTTACTATGCAAAATAAACAAATGATGTTATTAAAAAATCAGAATACTAATAATTTGTTTTAGATGATTTATTCAATTTAAACGGAATGTTTAATAAGGCATAACAACATTTGATTACATGAAGGTTAATAACAACAACTTAGCCCACAGATTGCTTAATTAACGTTATAGATGAAGCAAATATATCTTAATTATCGAAACTTTCGTTGTTTTTTTTCCTTTAGGATTAAAAAGAATCATTCACACCGCCTTCATTCAAAACATCCTCCTTCAAAGACTGTAGATTGCGATAAAGCGTATGCTGAAATCAGAAAGCCAGATACAGAACTCGAGCACAATTCAAGAATTTACAGTGTACAGACACAATCGGATTACGATCACATTAATCATTGCAAAAATGGGACAGGGAATACAAATGAAAATGTTTATGACACTAAAAGTTCTATTGAAGAATGTGAAGACGACCTCTATCATCATACAACTACAAAGGACCCTGACAAACAGTTTGCTGCTAACTCGGGAGATTATGTGCAAATATCAGTTCGCATAAACGAGGTGTCTCCATTAGGAAGTATATCTGCATTTTAATGATGCAAAGTATACAAGCATATCGAAACAGGTCTTAAGTATCATGTTGAACGCTTATGTATACCTAATGTTCAGGTTGGGTCACTTAGCTCTGATTCGTTTTTCACCAGTGCATTAATTGAACATTAATCCTGACCAAAATGCACATTATTACAGCTTCATTTGATAAATTAAGGTTCCAGCGATATTCTTTTATTGAAATTGTACCTAAAAAGGTTAACTACACTTGTTATAGATGTTGGCATATTTTTGTGTATAACCGAAAATTTAAAAAAACAAACATTGAACTCGTAAAAGTATTCATACCAGATACAAAACTGTATCAAACACGAAGTTGTGCACCGTCTGTCGAAAAATCATTTGTGTCCTGACTGCCCAATAAGAGCACGCAAACTTTGAAAACTGTTTCATAATTGTCAGTAACATGAAGCGCAGTATTATACTTTGCTTTTATGTACGTCTATGTTGAAGGATGAAAAACTTGTTTATCTTTAATAATAACAACCCTTTATTTTCTATTTTCATACGTTTTATTATCTTTACACTTTAAACGTTGGTGTGAATCTTAACCAGGACTTTGTTATTACTCTTTCTTAAATTCCTATGTAGAAACAATTCATTATTAAAAACGTAATATTTCAATTCATAACAATTGTTTTGTTAATATTTTAATATTTCATGTTTAATCAATAGTCCATTTTTTATATTACAATCGATGCAATTTAAGGGAGATAAAATAACTGTTATATGTTTTCTATACACGACAAAATCAACGGAAACATATCAGTTTTCCCCAAATTGCACGGTTTAAAGCATGATTTTACTTTTTGCATTCGCTCTTTTTGACCGAGTACTATATATATAGTGTCCTAACAAACAGTAAGTAAACTGTCGAAAAAATATATATACTTCGGATAATTAAAAATAACATATTACTTTATTCTTTAATGTGTTAAGATGAACATTCAATGATACAAGTTTTATTGATTATTATTCCGTGTCCAATCAAAAATATTTTGGTTGAAACCCGTATATTGCTTAAGCCGACATCGCATACTCTTTTAAGTAATTTGTTCAATCCTCGAACATACTATATTATGTCAAATATAAATCAATTAACGAAGTATTTTTATTCAACCAGAACATTTTTTTTATCATACGGAAACAAATGAATAAATAAGAAAAAAATACGACGGCAAGCCTACCATACAATAATATGTCTGGAAAAATCAAAGAATAATCGGCTTTATTTATCATATAGTTTAAAAAGTCGTATTATAAACAATAGTGTCTCAGTCAACTAAAGTTATTACATAATCAATCCTAAAATCTTTATTTGATTTATTAAGAACGTTGTTTTTGTGGAAACCTTTCCTCGTTAATGTCTAAATACACAAAAAGATTTTCAGTGGACTTTTATTTGTCAATATCAACACGACGGATGACACTAGTTGAGTGGGAACTGCTTATCTGTCCAGAAAACTTGAGTTTAGTTGTTGATTTATTGAGTAAAGGCAACTCAATCTTGAGTTTTCTGTATATTGATTTGTAGACTGATTGCTTATGGTCAGGTGATGATTTGGAAGAGTTATATTAGTTCGTTTGTTTTACACTATTGAGGAAATATATAAAGGTGAATTGCAAATCGTATATCCATAACCATTTGTACAATTTATGCTACCAAACACATATTTCAAAAATGAAGCCTGGTATATTTGATGAGAATTGTAAAAATAAAATATTTTGACAAACCTGTTCTTTGTTCGACACCTACTTAAAAATTGTATTTATTGATTTATTGTCATTCTAATGATGAACATGTTCAATAGTAGCTTGTTTATTTTAATTAAACAAGTTATACTCACAAGACATGTTTTCTCATATTTTACATGGATTGCTGTTATTTTAACTTAATAATAGCTTCAGAATTTTAAAAACGTGTCCGAAGACCAAAGCCTCAGTATTTCAAATACACGCACATGACAAAAATAATTCAAACACGGTTATAACCGACGAACATCAAAAACAAATATCAGTCTGTTATAATGATGAGGAATAGAGGTTAGACACCGCGAAACATAAAAATCCTATTAAGAGGTGTCAATATATAAATAACACATAGATGAGAGGGTGATAGAGCTGATTGTTACCCCGAGAAAACATTGTCAACTGAGGCGAAGCCAAGGTTGACAATGTCTTTTCGAGGGGTAACAATCTGCTCTATCACCCTCTAAGATATGTGTTATTTAATTTATTATACTGAATGTTCTGTTATTACTGTCGATTAAATTTCAAATTCAAAGTAATAAACTATGACGTCTTGTACATAACAACCATCCTTATTTAATAAAGCGCACACTTGATCAATCGTCTCCGTGAAGGGTAATAGAGTATTTGCCATAGGATAGAGTCGTATTTAATAAAGCGCACACTTGATCAAGCGTCTCCGTGAAGGGTAATAGAGTACTAGTATTTACCATAGAATAGAGTAAATTAACACCCTCGTATAAGCCAATCAAAATATTGCATTTTTACGTGAAGTATAATAATATAATATGTATAACGATGTTCAATTAGCATACAAGACGTGGTTTTCAACAGATTAAAATAAGAGTAAAAATGATGGAATTGAAAGAATTGAAAACAGGTAACACAAGGAATATAGACATGATACACATTTGCTTCCAATGCTCTGATCGATCAGCCTTCAAAACATTTTCAAAGTCATATTACTGAATGAATGAGTGGCAACAGTAGTTTACTGATGTCCAAATATATCGTAATTCTATTTTTGAATAAAAAACAAGCTATTAAAAAACCGAGGGGAACGCTTTAAATCAAAACGGAGCAAGACTTGGCCTGTCGACGGGGAAACATCTCTACCTATGCATGGATCACAAAACTTGCCAAACCCGACTCAATTTCATGATGGTAGTAATATGATACAAATTGTAAATTAGCAGATCAAACGCCTATACTATTTTTGTTAAAGATATAAGACTATGAAAACATGTGATGGTGACCGTAAAACTTGTGGTGTGTCAGTAACACACTCAACAAGTCAGTTAAAAATGAACGTTTCACGTTAGTAGATAGGTATGATTCATGACAAAGTGTAATGTCTATAACGAGTTCAGAAACTGATACAATAAAGCAAACAACTCATGGTGTCGACCAATCAATTTGTGAAGTGATAATTTTAGTCACTTCCCTTTCATAATCTTTCTGGGGTAGTGTATGTGTTAAAATGTACAGTGGCTAGTTAAATCACCACAATCAGTACAACCTCTAGAATTTCCCAATGATTAGAACGACTCGAGCATATTTCTGAAAACATTTCTACAATCTGAGATATATTATAGCTATAAGCTGGGCTGACTGATGGTGATTTGACAAAAATCACACCGTCTGTCATAAATTCTAGACTGCAGTTGTCAATCGTAATGGATTTCAAAAAAAAGTAAATCTAGATACTTGCCTCTAAAGCAATCCTTATTTTCAGGTTCACAAAAATATGCAATGTATAACATGTATAAGAAGTCACTGGAAAAAATGCAAGAAAGGAATCATCAAAATATATTCAAGAATATTGAAGAACTATTTATAAAAAGTAAAATAACAAAAATACCGAACTCCAAGGAAAATTCAAAACGGAAAGTACCTAATCAAATTGCAAAACCAAAAGCAAATACACATCAAACGAATGGAAAACTGTCATATTCCTGACTTGCTTAAAGCCGGTTTCTGGATATTTATTTCCTTAATCAGCTTGTATGTCAGTTTTGGAAGCAGTTCATTTTTGCACAAATTAAACAGTCGAGCACATACTGCTTATGGTCCATGTTCACCTTGATTCAATGGGTCATGTTAAATGTACGATTTGTGTATTAGTTGTGGTGTAGAAGTATAAATGTTTAAATGCAAAGTTGATCTTGGATGGTTTATGCCTTAATTTATGGATGGATGATCTAAGGTTATTTCAGAAACATTTGTGATTGGCATGCAAATCATATCACACCTTTTCTACAGTAAACAAGATTTTAACCAAATGTCCATCTCAATAGCAACAAGTTAATCATGCCTAGTAGTATTTTATCCTTTTTGAGGCGAAACTCTAAGTGAAACTACATTTTAATCGCGGTATATCTGACACCTGTCTCTTGATAGTTATTATAGGTCATTGATATCTACCCCACATATCATACTACTGATACTGATTAAACTAAATATAGAAAATTTCTAAATTTGTTATCCACCTTTTTATATTAGCAGTATTAGATTCATGTTAGAGCATTATCAGGATAAAGTCATCGTATTTTAAATAGAATCCACAGAACACATACATACATTCAGGACAGGAGACTGATAATGTGGGATGGATACGAAACATTGTGTGTACTAGAAGATGCGCTGAGCCAAATTTTTGTCATGATAGTTTCATAAGGTAAATGTCCACAGGAGGAAATTTTACCCTACTGGTAACTGACTAGTGTTTTCAATTACTCCAAAGAAGATACATCATTTGCAATTCATAGCTGTAAATACCAATTTATTAGTCTTTAGTTTGACCAAACCGGGAATAAAACCCACAACCTTCCTCAGTTGAGAAATGCATCCTAACAAGAGACCAATAAGGCAGTTGTTATGATGTAAATGATACCGTATAGCGGGTTATTTTCGCGGGGTGTTTATTTTCGCTTATTTTGGCGGATAAACGAAAATCGCGAAAATAAATTCAGCGA